ACACGCCTTTAATCCCAGCACTCAGGAGGCAGAGGCAGGCAGATCTCTGAGTTCAAGGCCAGCCTAGTCTACATAGTGAGTTCCAGGACAGCTGGGGCTACAGGGAGACCTTGTCTCAAAAAGATAAAAAAAAAAAAAAAGAAAGGAGGGCACAAATGAAAGCCCTAAAGTAGGAAGGACCTGAAAGGAGGCCGGTGTAACTGGAGCTCTGATAAAGCTGAGCAGAGCCTTTGTGGTCTTCGGTAGCTTTAAATTTGTTTTTGTCAGCCTCCTTGTCACTGTGACTAAGTACCTGAGACCACTGACTTAAAGGAAAACAGGCTTATTTTGGCTTGTAGTTGAAGAGGTTGCAGTCTGGTTGTCGGCCACACTGCTTTGTGGGAGCACCGTACATTAGGGTGGCAGTATGAGGCTGAGGAGGTTGTTAAAGTCCTTGTGGCCAGGAAACAGACAGGTGGAGGCTGGCAACCCTGTATTCCCCTCATGGCCCAAGTTCCTTTATCAGGCTCCTCCTCTTAAAGGATCTACCACTTCTTAATACCATCACAGGCTGGCCAGCAAGCCTTCTGGCCAAGGGTCTTTGAGGGACACACCCAAACATTAGCAGAATAGGAGAGTTACAGTTTTCCAAATCTCAGCACTACCTAGTACAGTCTTGAGCTACAGTGATTTTTTTCATTCAGTGTTTATTTAATACAATCTAATGGACAGCGATTATCATTTCCTGGCAAAGGACCTAGGTTTTGTCTAGTCTCCAGGTCCTGTCTTTGATCGTAAGTGACCTGAGATGATCCTTGGACTCATACCTGGCTGTCCACACCTTGTGTCACACATGATGACTTTTCCTACCACCCCAAGTAAAGTATTCTGACTGCCTTACTCACAGTCCTTTCATAATCCCAAGTCTTCTCCCACTCCCAGTTGTATACCATACCAAGACCTCTACTCCTTACCCATGTAATCGCCTCTGTTTTCAGGAGTTTTGAAGTCTTTGTCTTCCCAGAATAATCCCAGGAAGGGAAGGAAAAAAATAGGACTGTCTGTGTGCCTGTAATCACTGCCTTCAGCTAACCTTGGTTTAAACCTGAGATCCTTTCCTGCCTACTGACCTGTGTGTCTGCCCAAAGCCTGTTGAGAATGTGACTATAATAAAGAACAGTGCACTGATGAGGTTAAATAGGTCTCTAGAGAGAATCTCTCCACTGAGACATAGCACCCAGCTTTTGCTTGCTCTGAAAAGGTAGACACAGAGCTTAGCCTTTCTAAGCCTCACTGTTCTCATATGCAGTTATGTTAATGTGGTACTTCCTCCTAGGGTTCTTGTAAAGGTGGAAAGAATTAAAACAAGCAGAAGT